TTAAACCTATTAATGATTGAATAAAACCAGATGCTTTAAACTGAAATGAGAGAGTCTATGCAGGGATTTGGGCTTGCACCAAATGTAACTAAACCAATGCAAATACCCCCTATCCTGGGGGTCTTCAAGAGGAGGTTGGATGGGCATCTGGCTGGGGTCATCTAGACCCAGCACTCTTTCCTGTCTATGCAGGGGGTCGGACTCAATGATCTATTGAGGTCGCTTCTGACCCTAATATCTATGAATCTATGTGGGGGTGGAGAGGTCTTCTAAGCTTGTCCCTTGCCCCATGGCAGGGGTTTCCCTGCAAGAGCAGCTGGGTCGGTGTTGTACTGAGGAGAGAACTTCAGAATCCTGTAATAATCTCATAAGAATTTAAGCCACTGGTTCACAGCAGATGTGAGATCATTCCCTTGGGCTTGCTCCAAAACCCACTGCAGTTAGTAATGCTCCTCAACTTCAGCCAGCTTTGAGTTGAGCCCTGTAGTGTCTTGTTAGCTCAATTAGGAATGTACAAAAGTTGGAACTTGGAGGTGGAGACAGAACAAACAGATCTGTGTGCACTGGTGTGAAAAGAAAAATCTTCCCCAACATGCACTTCTGCCAATGGTTAATGCAATGCCTGCTCTGCTTTTGTCACCCTGACCCCTGTGCACCGTGAGAATAAACAAGTCTAGGCCATCCCTGCATGGCAAGGCATGTGGTTCCTGCTGCCCATCAAGAACTCTGCACCGCAGTTGCATCCAGAGGCACTGGGACTTCACTGAATCAAAAGTCTGGCTCCCTCAGGCACCTGGCAATGCTCCCTGTGTCCTCTGGGGCTCCTGCCAGGAGATGCACATTGCTTCCCCAGGCAAAGGCCAGGCACAGGGAAGTGTGTGAGCTGAAGTGGGGAGAGGAGGTGCCAGGAGGGATGAGTGGGGGAAGCTGGGAAGAGGGGTGCAGACTGAAACCTTAGGAGTCAGGAATGTCCCTGGAAAAGGCTGGAGAAGGAGGGGGCAACCAGAACTTGTTTGGCCATAAAGCTTTTGGCTGCTAATTTCCTTAGCATGTTCCATATTTTTGAGGCGGGGGGGAAGGACTGACCCAAAGGATTGGTTGATTTTGTATGGGTGGATCAATGCAAAACAAACACAGCCTCAGACAGAGGGCTGTTTCCAAAGGGAAATGTTTTGGATGTTGTCTGGGGTGGACATATACCTGGTCAATTATGATGTTTGTTTTTGTAACATTTCCTTAAAATTGTTTGTATACATACATTTTTTTTCCGCACAATCTGCTCAAAATTCTTTTCCCTTTTGGTGTTTGTGGCAATGAAGTGCATTTCAAACGAGAAGAAACTACCGTAGACCAGTGTTTAAATGCTGCCTTGAAAAATGACTGTGTAGCTGTTTTCCTTGGCATACAATTCAAGGCACAGCCTGTCACTTCACAGTGAAAGAAGGCCACCTGAAGAGATAAATAGTCATTTTTCTGCACTGCTTCCTAGATTTTTTTCCCCCCCAACTGCAGTCTTAACTACACCATTAAGATTAACATCTCCATTTTGTACAGAAGGAAAAGGCTCAGAAGCCTCACCCTAGGCCAGGGGCGGGCACCCCCGGCTTGCATACTAGACCGTGGCATGCAAGGCCACTTTTCTCGGCAAGTCCTGCTGTGAGCTGGCCAGGCTCCCTGGCAGGCAGCAGATGCCTGGAACCCAAGCCAGATATGGCAGGGAGGCTACAGCCAGAGCACCAGGGCTGGAGCCCTGGCTCAGCTCCATGACCAGTAGTGGCTGCATGTGTGCCTCAAAGCACACAGCAGGGAAGGGGCCTGGGACAATGCAACTCTGCCCCCTTCCCTACTGTGCTCCCTGAGGTGTGCAGGCAGCTGGGCTGGGACTCTGAATCCTGATATGGCCACTTGCAGGCTTGTGGCTGCCTGCTGTCAGCAGTCTGGGCTCCATGGTGGGTAGCAAAGGCTTGCCCAGAGCCTAGGCTGCTTGCAGCAGGGAGCCACAAGGCTACGAGTGGCTGCACCAGGGTCTGGAGCTCCGGCGCAACTTGTTTCTGGAAGCAGCTGCACACAAACCTTGGGGAAGTTGGCAGAGCTACGCTGCCACAACAAGGATAGAGCCCCTTGTGGCTCCCCCGCTGTTCAGCTTGGCACTCCAACATCTTCTAATTCCAGGTTGTGTCGTATATTGGCATACAGCTCAAAAACATTGTGGCCCTTGCCCTGGGTGCTGTTCTGATCCTATCAAAGTTGCTGGGTGGCATGCAATAATATGTGTGTACATGCACATGCATTCACTGAATTTTGTGTAGTTCTGGGTAGGCTATAGCAGTTTCTCCAGTCCATGTTCAAAAGACAATTGGGTAACACAGTGACAGTGTAACAAAATTCTGGGAGAAATCTGGATCTAAATGGACCCCAGGCCCAAACTCCTCATGACCGGCATGGGGTCAGAGTTGTGTTTTGCAGGGCTTTGTACAAGCTTTGTTTTGGTTTTACAGGATTTGTGTTCCCTGAGTTTATCTTATTTCTAGTAAGCCTGAAGGTCAGGTTACAAATTTCCTTGTGGTTTCAGTCCAGAATCATAAATCAATTGAATGCTATTTTAAATAGGCCAAAGAACTTCAGGAGCCTTTTGATACATTTGGGGCAAACTTTCAATGTATTTAAAAACTTGCAGCTCTGAACTCTTCTCAGTGGTTGAACAGTGAAAATTCTCCTGTTTTCCAGATGATCCCTCAAATTATTGTAAAGAGAAGAGTTAATTTTAGTTTCGGCTAATATTCCACTCCCTGAAAATACAGAATGCCAGTGCTAGTGACTTCATTTGATGGCTGAGAAGACTGTGGGAGGAAAGGAAATAACTGGATAGATAATTAAACGATGAAACCGCAACCAAATTTTTTCTATGTGATTACAAAACTTTTAGTTACATTTTGTTCCTTGCTGGTGAGTTCAAGGAAACATGCTTATCTGCAGAAAAGGCTGGAGACAGACTCATAGTGGTGGTATTTCATTAGACTGGAATTTATAGCTGGCCTCTCAATTCACTTTCTCTCTGCATGTAAAAGACTCTTCTGCCTCTGTTGCACTGTTTGAGCATTTGAACTCTGTTCATTTGCTGGAGGGAAATCAAGGGAGAGCCCAGGCATGTCCTCATGTTAATAAGATGCCCCTTTTTGTTTTTCAAAGAAAACTGCAAAGATGTAGCTAACCTGACAATTCTGGGGGGAGGGGGGCTAGAGAGAGCTGAATCTTTAGTTCTGCATCCCAGCAACTAGCTGTACTCCTGTCATTTGCATTTCATTGCAGTTGGATGTGTTCATTCAGTGCTGCTGCAAAACCATCAGTAGTAGGATCATGTTAATATTAACACTGTTCACTATTAGCTTAAGAGACCAGCAGTAATGGTCTGTGTACGCTGTAGAGGAACTGCTTCCAGAAGTTTGTCTCTAAGGTGGTGACAGTAGGGATCCCCACGGGGGACCCTGAAAGCAGCAGAATAGTTGGGTTTGGGTAGCTTGAGGCCAGACAGACAGGTCCCAGGCAGTACAATATTAGTGTTTTAGCATCAGACTTTTTCAAAAGCTCCCAATACACCGATAGCTGAACAACTGAGGTGTTTTCTCCACTCTGTGCCCCCCCCCCCACCCTCATGCACGTGTGCACACAGAGACACGCGCAGGTACACACAAGTTCTCTGTCTGTGGATTCCAGTGGCTTCTCCACAGCCTCCCCTCAGAGAAATGGCTCTGGCCTTGTAAAACTTCTAATTACACACTGGCAAAGCCCTCCTTCCAGCAGTCTGAGTGGTTTCTCCTGTCCCCACCAGGTTAACTTTGAAGAGTTCAAAGAAGGCTTCGTGACAGTGCTGTCCTCCAATATTGACCTGGGCATCTCCGATGAAGAGAGTAGCTACTTAGAACCAGGTGAGCAGGCAGATGGACACCAAGGTGGGACTCTTGCCAGCCATGCAGGTTTGCTTCCTGCATCTGCCACTGGGCCCGATCCTAGGTGCATGGGGGAGTATATCTCTATGAACTGGCAAAGTGGACTGGACAGTTACCTCAGTCATTACGGCATTAGCCTGATGCATGAGAGACCCTGTTAGATTTTTCTGCTGTCACAGACTCCTTGTGTGGCCTTAGGCCAGTCACTGATCCTCTCCTTGTCTCAGCTTCTGCCTGAAAACTGGGGAGAATGGCGTGGACCTGCCTTGCAAGGGGGAGCTGTGAGAACAAAGACATTAAAGGCTAAAGTATTGGAGAGCTGCATTTGTTTTCCAGGTCTGCTCCAGTCTTCCTAGTTTGACCCTGGGCAGATGGCTCCATTTATGCAGTGCCTCACTCTCCCTTGGGTTAAATGTCAGTGGTCCTTCCTGGTCTCAAGGATTGTATCAGTCCTTTGAGCACTAGAGAATTTCTAAGCACAAGTGGAGTCTAGAAAATGACATCGTGTCATATTCATATAGACAGATGTATGCTTTCTGTCTGCTTTTGGTGGTCACACCAGGTAGAGGCTTATGAATTTGTTTCCTGCTTGCAAAATAATGGCCCCACTCCTCTAGCTCAGGCACTGGACTCCTGCCTTCAGAAGCCAGAAATCCTATGATCAGTGCCCATAGACAACTTGACTCGTGCAACTGTTGCACGAAGGTTGTGGCTACTGTTGCACTTAAATGAAAACTGACCAAGGGAAAATATTTCTCTCTACTGACATAAGTAAGAATCTTCACTGGGGGTGGGAGGAGGGGTCCCTCTTTAGAGTTGGGGATGACTGTCCTTCATAGAAAGCTGTTTTTCTTTCCAAGAAAGCCAGGGGGTAATGCTGTAGTTCCACAATGAAAGAGGAGGAGCACTGCTTTCCCCCCCCCCCCCCCC